CCTCCCAACAGTACCTCAGGACATTGTAGATTATATTTGCTCCAAAAATTACTAAGTGCTCTCGTGATCATCATAACATTGTGTGTAAACTAAGCCACCTTATCCTCGTGATGTCCCCTAACTGCTGTTTGCATTTGCTTCTGTATTTATGCTTATTTGCCCCTGGAAATATTTTGCCTTATAAAAGACAGAGCCTCAGTCAACTTGGGGCTGCACCCATAACCCTATGTTGGGACACTGGGGCAGTCACCACCGGCTCTTCAATAGAAGGACTCCTCTTTAATTCGACTTGTCTGGTGGAATGGTCTTTGGGGGGACTCCTGGGCATAACAAAATGAAGTGTGACCTAAGATCACGGGCTACTGTATCAAGAAGATCTGGATTCGAATCCTGAATCTATCACTTATTCTCTGGGTCACCTGGGACAATTTGGTTTCTTTGTTCTTTGTAAACTATAAAATGTGGTTAATAATGCCTTTCAAGCTGGGTGCAGTGGCTTACATCTGTAATCCTAGCACGCTGGGAGATGGGGTGGATAGATTGTCTGAGCTCAGTGGTTCAAGACCAGCCTGAGCAAGAGCAAGACCCTGTCTCTAAAAAGAGCCTCATGGTGTGACCGGTGCCTGTGATCCCAGCTACTGGAGAGGCTAAGGCAAGAAAATCACTTGAACCCAGGAGTTTGAGTTTGCTGTGACCTATGATGCCACAGCACTGTATTGAGGGCAATAAAGTCAGACTCATTCTCAAAAATAAATAAATACATGAATAAAATCCCTTTCAAAAATATTGTTCAGATTAAATGAGAGATATACAAATACCTGTACCCTATAGGGTATATAGAAGAACTCTGTAAATAGTAGTTTAAGAAAAATAGAGACATTGAAAGACAAAGAGAGTGGAGGGGCCTCATTAGTGGTCACTAAGAAGAGTATTGGCTTAGTTTATGTCTTGGATCTCTGGAAAGGGAATATACTAGATAATTTCAGGACCAAAGATAGCTGGAAAAAAAATGGTTGAACAAAGAAAACCACCATGGAAGGGAGGAGCCAAAAATGATTACTAAACTGTAAGTTATTTTAGGGGAATGATGGCATCTATTTTATTAATGCATACTTAGGATCTAGCACTATACCTATACATGTCTATTGAATAAATTAATGAATGACTATTGATTAACATCTTGTGAAATGCTTAGGTTTGATTAAAAAAAGTGCATGAATGCAATGTTATTTAAAATAATTTAGGCTCGGCGCCTGTGGCTCAAGCGGCTAAGGCACCAGCCACATACACCTAAGGTGGCGGGTTCGAATCCCCAGCCCGGGCCCGCCAAACAACA